CGCTACTTTGATAAAACAGAAAACATAGGAAAATGGCAAGGAAAAAGTACAAAGAAAACTGCGAAAGAAAGTCCAATAAAGAAAGTGTTTGGCCCCAAGGCCCCAAAATGCAAACCCAGAGACAGGGCAGCAGCAGAGCTGCATTTTATATTAGAGACGAAAGACAAAGACAAGAAACATCTCTGCTCTTCCCTCTACTGCTCTGTGCAGTAATTAGCATGCCGCTGGAACTATTTGCAGTCTCTCTCTTTACTATTTAATTTGAAGTACAAATCTCCAGAGAACCAGCAATCCTCAGTCCACAGTCCCCAATTCCCTTGGAAAGTTAATGGCTTACTTAAATGTAAATGCTAACCATCTCAAGGGTCTCTCTGGCGTCTCTCTGGTTCCCTCTGTTAAGCGCCATTCAAATTCAAATTAAAGCCAGAAGAATTTACGATAACTATATTTTTGGCCACTTTGGTTGAAATGTTTGGGCATTATTTTGACACAACCAAATACTAATTTCGCTTTCTTTCGCTTCTTTCGCCTCTCTCTCTGCAGGTAAGCGGCCGCTTCTCAATCACACAATGACCAGCAGACCTTCCCGACATTTGCGGTACGTGAGTGGCAGCCACAAAGCCATCAGAAGGGGCCTCAATCTCCCGCTCCCGGGGCCATAGTTTATTATGCGTGTATTAGCGGTAAAAAGCCACAAACGAACAACCCAAAACCCAAAACCCAAACATTTTGACCGTTTTGCTTGGAGGTAAATGACCAGAAGTCCAAGACCAAAGAATCCACCAACCCAGAACCATCATCAGTCGTCGTCGCCTATGGGTTCCCTTCACCTTTTCCTCTGTGTATTTCTGTTTCTGTTTCTGTTTATTTGTTCAACAAATAGTTACAGAGGTTTTACATGCTCGGGAGCGAAGGAACATGAAAGGAAAGTGATGGCCAGCACAGTCCAAGGGCTTTCGGTTATGGAAAGTGATTTTTGTACATGGAAATTCGTGTGGGGGGAAAAGAGTTCTGGGTGGTAGATTTACACTGCAGAAAGCATCCACCATTTGCTTTAATTTTCACATTTCATTGCATTGGCATTGCTGCTCCTGCCTGTCAAATATTTCATTAAAACTTTCCACATGTCCAGCTCCCAAGGCAGCCCTTTCCGCTCTGAACAGAGAGCGGTAACCCGCCCCCCGCCACAGCAGACAGACAGAAGGCTAATGTCCGACTTCCCTTTGGTATCATGACCGAATCGTTACCGTAATGGCAGCCACATTAACTTTGTCCCACAAACTGTCCCAAAAAGACAGTTGAGAAAAAACATAAACGTACATTAAGAACCGAATCATATCTTGGGCATTTCAACTCATTAGAGGTTCAACAAACCCTAACCGAGAGACCCCAGAGGCCAGTCCGAGCACTCTGAGGAGCACCCAGAGAGTGAGAGAGAGAGAGAGAGAGAGGGAAACTCGGCCAGCAGCAGCAGCAGCAAAGAGTCCAAAAAACCAGTACACAAGAGCGGGAAATGTAATATAAAAATATTATTATTACGGCACTCTGTGGGCATTACGGCAGCAGGGAAAAATGAGTGTAACCAGCTTATGACCAGACAGATATTGCTTCAACATATTCTTAGAGCAAATTAGAACAAGTTAATGTCTGCCCAGAACGTTGGACACGTTCAACGGCTTCTGTTTGATTCGAATTCGAATTCTGTTTCTGTTTCTGTTTCAAAGATGACAATTATGATCACGTCTCTGGTCGTTTTACGGAATTGGCTGTGGAATGTGGCAGCTGCTGTGGCTCCTGCCTTTCCATTGGATTATTCAATATGCCTTTTCGCACAGCCAAATCATGTAATGGCCATAAATGCTGCCTCCTCTTTGCTCTGGGGCTATCTGCCATCTGTGCCGCAACTGCACCTTTGTTTGCTGTTTGACAAGTTTTGCGCAAGAAATTGTAACAGCGCCAAAGATGGATATCAGTTACGCATGCGCAGAGTGGAGAGTGGAGAGCAGAGGAGATTCCACTTTGGCCAACTTTGGTTAGCAGCAAGATTATGGCATCGAGATAGATAGATGGAGACTACTTATGATCGAAAGGATATCCCTGAATCTCAGAGCTCTAAGCCTCACTTTTCTACTCATTTGAATCCTCATCAAGAATCAAATTCCCAAACACCAATCAAGATCCGTCGTTCGTTGATCTTTCCTGGGGCCAATCTTGGCTCTTCTCCGCTCTGCGCCATGAGAGCGAGAGAGGCCATAAACTGAACTCTGACCCGGCGGAGTGCGATTCATACGCGCAGAGGCACATCCGTTAGAGCCAGCCGTTCACTTTACGATCGGATTCCGCTGGCCACTTTTTTGCTTAGCTTGTTATAAAAATATCGACCATCAAGTTTGACGATTTATTGAACATTTTAATTACAACCCGCGGGTACATGGCAGCACTCCAGCCCCACTGCACAAGGTTTCAGAGAGTGTTGAGATCTTCAGAGGAGCGTAGCTGGGGGGCAAAAGAGTCCACACTGGGAACACTACGCAGACAGAGAGGAGGGAAGTACTCCATAGATGGGAGCGAAAAGTGGAAGAGCCACAGCTGGAGACTCGACACTCGACTTTTACTGGGATGCTGGGATGCTGAGATGCTGAGACGATGATGATGGCCATTGGGCAAACAAATACAAATAATGGTAAATAAACAAGCAAGCAAACAACTGACTGGGATTTGCATGAGAAATTTCAGTTAACAACTGAAAAAGCCAGCAACAAACCGCCGAAAAATTCAACAGAAGCAGCAAAGCCCCGCGACACTCGAAGCTATTGATACCCTAGAAGATTGATCCCCTTTTTATGGTAGCTCCACAGTCAGGCAATGAAGAATGAGGTGAAACAACGCAACAAATGTTCCATAAACGAATAGATTTGACTAAAGAAAGAGGATTTAATGGGAAAACACTTGGGAAAACGTTTCAAATGGGCTGAAAATCTCATCGTATTCACACTCTTCCATGGCAAACACCTCGTACAAATCGTAGTACCCACTTCTGCTTGCAAGAAGAGTAAAAATGTAAAAATGTAAATATGTAAAATGTATGTATGAATGTATGAATGTAGATATGTAAATGCCAAATCCCCCCACAAGTGCGCCTCAAGTGAAATGTTTAAGATTTTCGGTAGCTTGTCGTGTCGTTGGATGAACACAAAAAATAAAATAAAAAGAAAAAAGTAGAAGTAGAAATGGTAGAAAATACCCCCGGATACTCGGATACTCGGATACAAAGATACATCCGTGAGTAGACAAACACTTGAAACTACTTCACGCTTTATAGATAACAATGAAGAGGCAAAGGCAAAGGCAAAGGCAAAGGCCGGAGCAACCAAACAACAACGAAAGTACTTGAAAAGCGATTTCATTTTCACTTTGAGCATAAAATGAAATAACAAACAAGCAAATAAGAAGGGAGTGGGTGGTGAGGGGGTGAGGGGGGAAGTAAAACTTAAATAATGGCAACTAATTTTGTGTTCTCGCTGCACAAGGAGGTGTGTGCGGGGGGGGGACAGAGAGTCATTCAAAGACTTTCACATAATTAAATCAAATTTCGAAATGAAAATGAAATGAAAATTATTTATTAATTGCAGAAGTAGGTGGGAGGGGTATACCATATGCAAATGTTCACAGTGAGAGAGACTCTCTCTCTCTCTCTCTCTGTCTTGAGAGCCTGAGCAGTAGCCAAAGCGGTGAAATTTTATGTTACTTTTGTTGCTGTCGTAGCTGGAAGCTCTCTTTCAAGCTGATTTGAATAACAAGTGGCGAGGTTTTCGCATCTGCAAGATACATAGATACAAGCCTGACTGCCTGTCAGTTTAACTTTTGCTGCTGGCTGCTGGCTGCTACTTCCCCCTGCTGCTGTCTCTCTCATTAAAAGTAAATTTCGAGCCTCCAACTGGCGACTGAGTTACAAGCGGGGGGGACACACACCACACGCTGCACAACACACAGTCGCAAGACCAGAAACCCGAGAAGTGTGGCTGCTGCTGCTGACTGCAGGACTCTTGTCGGAAGCCACAAAAGACAAGTGGCCTAGGAATAGAACTAAGGAGAGAAGACAGCTTAAGGGACTTCGAGTGTAGCAGAAAATCACAAAGGAGTTTCGAATGTTTGCAATTTTCATTTTGCACAAGCTGAGCTGTCAAATTTTGTGGGAATTTTCAACATGAATGGCAGCTAATCAAGTGGCTAATCATGGAGCACTGCAACAAGTCAATAAAGGCTGCCACATCGGCACACAAATCACGCATACGCCATGCATCCTGCCTGCCTGCCTGCCAGTGTTTTGCCCGTTTGCTGCCACAGTTTGCTGTTTGTTCTGCAGTTTTCTGCTGTTTTCAGCGTCATTTCCATTGGCGAAAAGCCATGAAGAATCAGCATTGAGGCTGAGAGCCTTGCAGCGCCACAGAAAAGGCAAAAAAAAACTTTGGAATCAACGGAAATGTCACTTTCTTTTCAATCAAAACGCAATTCATGGCACTCCAAAAACAAAACTACACAAAAACCAACAGGGAAAAAACTACAAAAAAGAGGAGAGGCAACTAAAAGAAAAGAAACAACACGGAAAACGGAAAACAGAAAACAACTTGAGACCATGAAAGGTCATGGCAATGGGATTCCAAAGAGATTCCCTCCATCTCCATCTGTCAGGGTCTTTGAGAGTCTCCAACTGCAACTCGAAAAGTGACTTTAAATTGCAGGAAGCTTGCAGCAGGGAACACGATTTTCAAGTGGCACTTGGGTGGCCAGGCAGCAGGGGGGGGGGCAGATCTTCTCTCTTCTGCGCTAACTGCCACCGACTGAACTTTAACCTCAGAGCTACACAACTGCAATCTGCGGAGCGGGAAAGCGGACAACAGCAAAACGCTTTAATTTGCAACTGCAATTCGTGCAAAATTCCATGGAGACTCACATTCAGGGCGCTGCTTAGGGTTACCCAAGGCTCTGCCTCTGCCCAGACAGAGGGTAGAAAGTGGAGAGAAATGACCTCCTCCGCAGGGTATCCACATCGTTGGCTCCTCCTCTCTGCTCGCTTGCCTTGCTCCCTGTCCAGCGAACATGGCAAATATTTAAGAATCTACTTAACCAAAGTGAAAGAGACAGGCAGGCGACAGAAGCGACAACCAGCTGACGCCAAATAAGGTGCAGGGTGCAGGGTGGCCCGCTCCCGCGGTGGAGAGAATTCAATAATAATGGCTGAGGGTCAGTGTAAATCACTCTCAAAAAGGAGCTGCCACAAAAGGAGAAGTGGGAGACTGTTGGAAGTTGCAACTACCTGACTGACATGGGAAGTGCCCGCTGCCGTGGCCCTTTCCCCTGGTGGATCATGTGCCCTGTAATTTGCACTAAACCAAAGATGCCTTCGGTTCAATTATGTGCTAAGTAGGGGAAAGGAAAGAGAGAGAGAGTGGACTGATGGTGAAAGGAGTTGTGGGAGGAAGTGCCTGCAGGCGGAGCAAAAGAAGGAACCAATAAGTGTTCCATGTGGATATCTAATCTGCCTAAATCCATTCGCTGTGGAATGTTTCCACTTCAATTTCATTTAATCAACTCAACTCCAGCCACAGCCACAGCCACAGCCACTCCCGTCCATTCATCATCATTTAGCTGGGGGTTTTAGCGCCCATTTGTGCCTGCCATAAAATTCACTCTCAGCTCTAATAACTGCGTTAATCTATCCTATGCAGTTTCCTATCTCTCTCTCTGAGCTAATAAAATCATTAAGATACCTTTCATTCAGACCCATTTGCAGATGGGCGCCCGCTCTGGCTTTTCCGCGAATCTTCACGCATTGATGGACGCTAAGCGAACGTCTCGTCTCATATCGGGAGTTTGTTTTGCTCTCAATAATGATTCAATAGTTAGGAAAATATGCACAGAGGGAGCTGCCTTCAGTTGTGTCGTAAATATTTTCCCCGCTGAAGAACTTTTTAATAGCCAAACAAAAGGCACGGAGGGGAAGTTCCATCAGAAGTTTCCAAATGAAAAACAACTCAATGGGGAGCGGGCAAACACACAACACAAGTGGGAAATGCAGGAAGGAAGTGGCTGATGGGGCAGAACAGGGACAGGGACAGGGCCATGGCATGGGTTGGGGTTTGGGTTCTCCCTCCAATTCCGACAAAGTAAAAGTGCGTTTGGCAGTTACCCTGGATGGATGGTTGCGAGTCGTCCCCTTCGTGTTGCATCAAAATTCTTAATAACTTGGCTGCCGCGGCCCCTCTTCCGCCTCATATTGTGGTGGAGCGGAAAAGGCGCATCTCTCAAGCAATTTTGTGTGTCATTATGTGAGGGTCTCGTTTGCCATTAACCTGCCTTGGCCAGGCCAAGCGAACTGCTGCCCCTCCTCTGACTACTTTGAATGCAGAAGCGCAGCAGCAGCTCCTCCCGGGTTGGGTATTCAAAATGAGAGGAGAAGGAGAAAGGAGAGGAACGAGCCTCAATTTCGCACTTCATCTATGCCACAGACAAATGCTGGCTGCAACTTTAATTGCTCCCCAAATAGAAGACGATGAAACCCTTTTGGCCACATCAATCAGCATCAACATCAACATCAATCACAATCTTCAACTAATTCTCTCCCTCTCTGTGCAGAAAACGGCGACAGCGAAGCCAACGAAATATCATTATTATCCGCACAATCAACACATCTATCTGCTGCCCGAGTGCGCCATCCAGCAGGTCTGCAACGCGGTCTACGTGAGACTCAACTACACCCAGCCCCTGTGCGCCTGTCCATCAAGGTGAGTCGCCAGCAGTCTCCGCTGCAGGATTAGGGTTCGCTTCGCCCACTTGTCACTCGGCCACTCGGCCACTTCTAATTAATCCCACAATGCAGCGGCCAGAATCTAATCTAATCCGATGGCTTCCCTTGCAGATATCGCGATCCCTGCTCCGCCAGCCTCAACGAGGACGATCAGCACACCACAAAATTGGTTGGTGATAACAAAAAGAAGGTGAGTCCAACCTGGGAGTCGGTGGGGAATTGCAGGGATTCAAGGAAGATGTTCATTAGGTAGATCACGAATTGGAGAAGATGCGATCAGTGGAGGGCACGAACCGGAGAGCTCTACGAATTGGGGATCATTTGTTTGAGCGGAAAGCCAACAATCAGGGAAAATCAATTGCAAATCTCACAAAAGTTCACTGCGTATTCGTTTCGTGGCTTGAGGATCATTTAATAGATCAGATCAGTTCAGGGGAAAAACCTCAACAATTGCCAGATGAGTGGGAACCCGCGAAACTCACATCAAACCCCAAACGAAGATCGTCTAACAAAGGATGATTGAGGATCATTTGATCAACTCTGATCACTCATCAAATTGATTCCTGCGTCTGCGGAGTTCTCTTCGCTGCTGTGGCACGATCTGTGGCTTGATTCTGCCTGTCCCAGGGTCACTGGGAGGCTCACCTTGTGGCTTCATAATGTTACCCCTACTGCCGCCTCATGATTGGGGCACTTTTATTGCCTAGCCATGATCGGCTTCCATCTTCCATGGGAGGAAACTTCCATTTAATTAAGTTATAAATGCCGCAGCGGCCCTCCCCTTTCCTCCTGCGACTCTGGTCTTCGAGGCATGGGAGAAATGTTCAAATAAATTAAATAATAAAAAGCATTTTTAATAGTTTAATGGTCCAAGCAGTTGAGTGCTGCTGTGCACCACAGTTCCCCGTTCCAGCGTTCCAGCGTTCCCCGTTCCACCGTTCCACGCAGGTGTCCACTGAGGAGGAGGAGGAGGAGGCGGCGGAAGGTCTCTCTCGCGTGTGGGCAGTGCCAGACATTGTCATAATTACACTTCACTTTACCGTTAAATGCAACACTTGCTGTGCGCTGTGTGCTGTGTGTGTGTTTGTTGCCGCTGCTGCTGCTGTTTTGCCGGAACTGTACCGCAAATGATGTACGGAAAATGCGTTTAGCTGGAAAACCAGAGCAGTGGCAGAGGAAAAACTGGAACAGCAGCGGCAACAGCATTAACCTGAATGCCACCATCGAGAGCCAATGAAGCGGAGAGGAAAGAAGAGCGGAAAAGTGGAATAAAAACTTTGCCTGAATTGGCTGCCGCATGCAAACGAGCGCCGCAAGAGTCAATCAAATTACTCCACTCTGGGGCAGGAACTGCTGCTGCTGCTGCTGCTGCCATGCCAGTAGCCCCAGTAGCCCCAGTAGCCAGCAGTCGAGGCTGTAAATCAGTTAAAGGACAATCAAGCATCGCGTCCAATCGAAAGCGGAGCAAAAAGCAATTTCTGTCTGGCCCAGGGCTGCTCCTCGCTTCTTTTTTTTGGCTCCAAAGCGACAGCTAGAGACAGGCAGAGTGATGCAGAGTGATGCCGAGTAGACGTTTAGCATGTTGGCTTTCAATTTAGAGTCATGATCATGGGATTGGCTTGGGTTGGGGTTACTTTCCTTGGCCGCCCTGTGGGCCTGTGGGTCCAAAGTGAATGTCTAATCGTCGCGCGGCCAGTGCTAGACACCGTCTAGACAGCCAGAAACGCCCCTTCCATTTGCATCCTCCACTGCACTCTACTCCTTTTTTTTGCTCTCTCCATGATTAGGCCATTACGCTGGCCAAGACCTGTGAGGCCACAACGGAGATGCGAGAGTGCCGCTCGCCCAAGGACTGGTCCCTGCTGGCACTGCAAAACACACGGACAGGCAAATCCCACTATCTGGTCATCTGCCGCTGTCCCGATCACTTCAAAATGGGTAAATAAATATCAGAAAAATGAGAAAACAAATCTTCTAATCTGAACAAATCTCCCTTTCGGTAGAGGGACCCATGGCCCATGATCAGCCCACATATGCGAGTGTCCCCGGCATCCGAGTCTTTGGCATGATGTGCGTCAAGCCGGGCTACTCCGTGCGCAAGCCCAGCAGCCAGCCGCCGAAGCGCTACCAGCTGCAGAAACCCTTCTACCGCCCCTCGGTGGGTGGCTCCAGCTCCCTGGGTGGGCAGAAGGATAGCTACGGCAGACCCATCTATGGGGGAAGCTCCAGCAGCTCGAGCTCGAGTCTCGGAGGATCGCCCATCAGCTCCAACTACCAGCCGCAGGATCAGCAGTCCTTCCAGAACGGCGGCCCCAGCAGCTCCTACCAGTATCTGAACCGTCCCGAGAGCACCCACAGCACCCACAGCACCCACAGCAGCCACAGCTCCTCCTCGGCCAACTTCCGGCCCGACCAGTTCAGCATCAACAACTTCCCGGGCAGCAACTACGGACGGAACAACGAGCGACGCGGCGACATGGCGCCCATTGAGGCAATTGGCAGTGGATCGGGCGCCGGCACCGAGGAGCAGCCCGGCAGCAGTACGCCGGCCAGCGAGGAGGCCAGAACCACGCTTCAGGCGCAGGAGTTGGAACAGGAGCAGGAGCAGGAATCAGAGCCCGCGGCGGCGGCTGCTGCGTCGCCTGTGACAACGCTCCCAGAGCCGGCTCTGGAGGGCAGCACTCGCATCCGACGCTCGCTGGCAGAGACGATGGAGCTCGACCCGGAGCCAGAGTTCCCCTGGGATCGTGTCGTCGAGTTCCAGCAGAGCATTGTCTGGGACTAGGACTGCCACACACAGCCTTAACATCAAAATCCTAGCAAATACAATTTCTAACGGCACGCGACACGCGCGAAACAAAAACAAAAACAAAACTACTGTGACTGAAGCGAGAGAGAGCGAGAGAGAGAGCGAGCGAGAGAGAGAGGGGAACGAAGCGGAATGGAACGACAACGCGGAAACGGCAGAACAGAGACTACAGCAACGTCAAGTAAATTAGTGGCTAAGCTTTTTTACACAAACATTTTTGTAGGCATTTCAAATGGCATTTGAATCCCTCCCGCTCCTGATGAATTCCTTCTCTAATTTACATATTTATTTATATTTATATACAAAAGAACAATTTACGAATTAATTAAACAATTACACGGGGCCGGGTCCGCCCGCGTCGCTCATTAATTGTTTAATTAATTTGTTTTGCATTTAAGCGTAAACAAGGCCTCAACTTTTTATAATACTTAAATAAATGAACGTGAAGCGTGAGAGCAGATAGTTAAGGTGCAACAACTTGAAACTATTCGAGAAACATAAACAGAACAAAAACAAGCAGAAAAAAACAACGAAACAAAAGCAGAAAAAACCGAAATTATCAAACGCTAAATTTAGTTGCTTATTTATGTCTAGATCTAAGCTGCATTTACTAGTAGTTAAATAAACAACAACAAAAACTATTTTAAAAATAACAAAAAACGTGAGAGAGAGA